TGGGGGGACTGCAGTCAATTCATTTTTGTAGAGGAGAAAAGTTCCCCCCAGTGGCAGGTAGACAACTTATGCTTTAGCAAGGGAGGGAGGGCATGCTGCTCACACGTATGCCAGTAACTTGCTGTCAGGGAGACAGGAGGTAATGAGACTGGACAGCCTTGTGCAAATACCAAAAGCCCAAAACCTAGCAAAGGAAGAATCAGAGACATAGAAGGCAGAACAGAAAATACCAAGAGGATGTTATACTCCATACATATAAATTCTCTTAGGATCATGTATTAGAAAGCATAGGATTATCTTACAAGAACAATAGCAAGAGAGAAGAGGCTGTTGAGAAAATAAGGATTGATTATATGAGGATTTAGGGGCCTGTGAGAATGAAGAAGGGACTAAGAAGGCAAAACAGCTTCTTAGAAGAAGAGTGGGTGAATAAAGAGAGAAAAGGCTTAGAAGAAACAAGATGAGGGAAGACAAGAAGATCAGTGTTTGCACAAGCTCTTCATTGAAGGGGAGTAAAAAAATCTGTTTGCTGCATACCTTGCTATTTTGTGGAGGACCAGACATAAGCATGTTTTGTCTCACACATTCTGACTGTTCCCACAGGAAAGATGTGACTGGAAGAGAGGGTCCCAGAGAGATGGGCCAGTGCTGTTCTGAGCTAATTTCCCACTTCACCTGGAGACTCCTGTTCAGCCCCCCTCACCCCGACTCACCTCCTGGAAGGAGGGCTCAAAGGTCTGGCTGTGCACACATGAACAGAATGGCAAGAGAAATCTAGTTTACATAAAAGGCTGCACCAAGTTAACTATAAAAGAGAGCAGATTGGACCCCTCTCTATCTTTTCCCTCTCTTTCTCTTTGTCTCGCATTCCCAGCTCTAGACCAGCCATGCAGCAGGGCCAATGTGGGATCTAAGGACTGGTGATATTCTTTTTCTTCTCTCTTCTCTGCCTTTATTTCTCTCTCCCCTTGCTGAGCCTGGGCAAAGTACAGCTGTCATATTCTACCCTGTACTCTGTTCTGAAGTTTGTTGTGGGAGTGGGGAGCTTGTGGAAGTGTGTTGTGGCTTGTTAGCCAGCACCTTTGAGGAATCTGTTGTGGGAGCTGAGAACTTACTGAAGTGTACTGCACAAAAGGGCTTGTTAGCCACCACTCTTGTGGAAGTATATTTTAAGAATTTAAGGGCTTGTTAGCCAACACCCTTTGAGTCTAAACAGTGGGCTGGTTGTCAGAGTTACAGCAACTGTACAATAAAGCACAAGAGTTCTTTGACACATGGTCCTGTGTCATTGTTCAGCCTGATGAGAATTTACAATGAACATCAGGCCCCCAACCGGTATTTCAGTTGGGAGATCTGCTGGAGTCTGTACAAGGGTGACACTACCATAACACGGTGATTACCTCAGGCATGAGAACTCCTCTCATCTACGCAGCAGTAATGTTGGCAGAATGGTGAAAACACCAATAACATGGAGCAGCTCCCTTAGAGGACTTCAAGTCCAGGGCACACCTGGCATCACTACTTCAGGGTACTGGAGCTAGCCCTGTTATTGTGGTACAGCATCAGGCTTTGCCACATGGTCTACCCTAAATTCTCTCCAGAAAGAGCATGAGATCATTTCTAGTGTTATTGCTGCATTACAGCATAGATTAGTTACTGCAGAAAATAAAATGATGCTAGCAAAGTTTGAAAATGCCATTGAACACAAACTGCTCGAATACAGGCACTAGAGCTGGTCAAGCAAGGTGAGAGCAGGAGCAGTGCTCGAGCGAGAGTATCAGGGGCTAGCAAAGGGAGCACTGAGCCCTCCAGGCTCTCTACCAGAAAAGGCAGAAGCAGGATAAGAGGGATCTGGTGGCCAGCATGGGCAAAAAGGCAGCCCCTGGCTGGGAAAGTGTCTGATGGAATGCCCCACATCCGTTTGAGAATACACTGGTACACAGGGCAAAAATGGGAATGGCTGGGGAAATCATGGGGTAAACACATTAACCTGTCACCTCAAAACTACCACTGTAGATCCTGGTACAGTACTGCTGGTTAAAGAGCAGTAGTAGCTCTAAACTGTGCTCAACAACTCCCACCTCTACCAGCTTCCTAATGCACTAAAGGCATATTCTGAATTTTGTCCTGTCAGTGATTTTGTCTCATCTTTTGTACAGCTCCAGATGCTCTTTAAAACAGAGTAAGTAATATTTTTGCTTCCCATTTCAGTTATTTTAAAGTTTCCTTATTTGCAACAGCCAGTTCTTAAAGTGAGATTTGAGTCTAAATGAGGACACAGCTGCTTCCTCCTCTTCCCTCATCTCCGCATTAGCTGCAATTGGCAGTGAGCCCCTAAGCATTCTCATTTCTTCCTGTTAAATATTTGGGAAAACAGAGATTACTCAGAGTTACCAAAGTGATGTTTTCGATAGCTGAGAGTTCAATAATTGACTTCCTTGAAATTTTCAACAGCTTCCAGTTACTTCTGAAGTCCCAGCCCACAAGACATACGACAGTGGAATAACACATTTTTTTAAAGGCTTAGCATGACTTGTAACCTGCTCCTTCTTTCCCATTTCATAACTGAAAAAATTAGCACAATCAATAGCTTGCTGCTGGCAGCAGGAAGGCTGCCACATGGAGCCCAGGCAGGAGATCTTAGGGCTGAATGTCAGCATCTCTCATCTTCCCCGTTTACACAAACAGCTTGTTTTGTCCTCCTGAGCCAGTGGGCACCACAGCATCCCCACCTCCAAAGTCAGTGTCAGCATGCCTTTTTGGTCCAACACAGACTTAGGATGCCTACATCCTGGACTGAAAGATTTAAGATGGCTTTGCATAATCTCAATAACCATTTGGTTTTGGTTACAGATCTCATATTACAAACAACAAGACCCATGACATTTCTTGCTTACTTTTTCAAAGATACTTCTACTGTAAAACAAGATAATCCTTCTCCTTTAAGTCTGACTACATCAAACTGTTTATTCACATCCTTGGCCACAAAGTCTTCTCAGAACAAGCATAAATGCAGAAAAATACTTTTTATAATGTGCATCCAAAATATTCATGGAATGGCTTTATCTCAAGTGTATCAAATGGTATTAGAATATTCTTTGCAAAACTTTAGTTTATCCCATCATTTTTCTAAACTCCATTTTCAGTGGCACTGTACAACAGAGAATTTCAGAGCACCACATACAACACCAGCAGCTCATTTCTTAATATTTTTTACATGCTGATTTGAAAAGACTTCAGTGGATTTACTGAGAAGATAAAGGTGTATGTAAAAGTCATGCCCACATAATGCAGAGCAGAGTGGTATGTGAGCAAAGATAATATCATACATAAAATATTAGTCATGTGTTGAGATGTCTCTTGACAACCTCTAACTTAATTGAAAACTAAAAGTGTCTATTATAAACATTTAGACTTGGGAGACCAACAGACTACTCTGATGTATTTGAAGCTGGAAGAATGAGATATAGATTGAGTCACAAAAATCCCAGGGGTAATGGAATGAGTTAGTAAATCATCTAATAGGTGATGTTTGTTTAACAACAGCATTTAACAAAATAAAAGAGAGAGATAACTAAAATGAAGTTTTACTTTCATGTATACACAAGAGCGGCCACATGGAAAGACATACTAGTATTAGAAAGAATTGTCCAGTATTATCATAAAATTTTAAGTAAAACACCAAATCACAATTGTGACATAGACATAACTTACCACTCATGAGATTTCAAAAAGCTGCCAAAAGTGGAACTTCATTCTTTCTCTTGCTGGGATACAGTTGTTTAAAACTTCCCAGACAAGCAAAATACACTACTCAAATGCTTAAAGCACACATGTAAGGAAAGCACTGGGTACCATAAGTAAAATGTAGCAAATAATCTTTATTAAAAAGTCAATTTTATATTCCCCTGTCCCCATTTTAAATAATCATTTTTACTGCTGAAAAACAGAATTGAAAATTAAAAGCTGAAATATAAAACCCTTTAAATGTAAACTATAATCTGAACAGAGCATGGCCCACTCTGAAAGAACTGTACACTTAATCCAAAGATGCAAATCAGTACACAGTTAAATACAATTCCAATTACTTCTGCACTGCCAGTTCTGGGTAGCAAGTGGATCCTGAATAACAATAGTTTCATTCTCAAAGTTTAACTAATTTCTAAATTAGACTCTGGAATCAGATACAGACCTGCTGAGCTATAGGCTTCTTTCTGAAGTACTCACCATCTATTAGCATTCTACTTACATTACAACACTATCAGACAACTAAGTCAACCTGTTTTGACCAGAACAGATAAGGAGCCCTCAAAAGTCAGGAAGAGTCCAAAGGCAGTGCAAGGAATGGCTGCCTCATTTTAGCTCCTGCCTAATGACATCTGTAAACTTTTCCAGTCCAAACTGTAGAGGATGGCTCTCCAACAGATTAAGAGCTGGGTCTGCTATAGCACTCTGCTCAGAGAGCTCACAGGTACACAGGGGAGGCACCAGAAGATTTAAGTGGTCTGTGAGTTTGGCTTTAGGCCCCACGTGACCAAGAAGCATGAGCTCAGCATTCTGCACAGCAGCATAAAGGAATTAAATCCAACGAGAAGGCCTGTGCAAGCATGCAAACACAAACTTCTCCTTCTAAAGTCAGGTGGTCTCAGACTTGGACCAGGGCTGTAATACACACCCAGAAGGCAATTGGAGAAAGCTGTATGTTTAACTCTGATCTCTGACTGCACATGATTAAACACATGATATCAGCACTGGCAGGACAACTGGCAGTTAAGTTTAATAGGAACAGGAGTCATTAAAAAAAACCCCAGTACTCCACGTGGAACCCCAAGCACAGAAGAACCTAAGTATCAGCAGCTTCCCACCTGCCCTTGGAGTCACAGTGGACAAAGCTGTCTCATTATCCTTCTCCCACCTCCTATCCCTCAGTTCCAGGATATTCATCAACCAAAACATATAAAATACTTCATATTCCTAGAACTGCAGCATTAGAAAAATACTTGACATTTAAAACTTCCACCAAAGTTGCTTTAATAAGTTACATGTCAGATGTTTCACTTTCCAAGCAGAAAACAGAAAATCCAATAATCAAAATGGCTACAAGTTGAAATAAAGTGTTGTGAATCTGTTGGGCAGAGACAGGCCTGCTGTCCTTGCTAAAGAGCAAATCTGTTGACATTGAATATCTTAACACAGTGATCAGCTCCACAACTTGCAAGCTGCAACCACTCGCTGCTGTTCTGATCATTATGTCCAGCTCTGCCTGCATGATGTCTCCAACATAAACGTTTCACAGCAAGAGCATGACTTTGGCTGCAACAAAAGAAATCCATACATAACTGCAAAATGTCAAACACAGTTGGGCATGTGAGTGCAAACATCAACAAGCAGACAATTAGTACTCTTCAGTTAACACTACCAACTGAGGAAAAACTGACTTGTGACAACCAGTGGGTATTAAGTTCTTAAAATAAGTAGGGCCATTAACACTAATGACATTTTATCCTCTCACTCATCCATAATTCAAACAGCTATTGATTTCCAGTTTTACCACATTAAGTTGCAGGTCTAGCATCTCAGTTACTGAGATATGACAGATTTCTGGCTTTTAGCCTGCGATTTCCTGTTATCTGGTGTCTCTTTCCAATTCGCTTCAAGCACACAAAGGCCAAAGTCACCATCAACTTTCATTTCTGATACTATCAATGCCGGTATGTGACAGAAGAATCTAGGAGAGTGCTTCAAGTGAAACATTCCACGTCTCTCTACAGAATTTCTCTAGCTGTCACCACAGCAGCACCACATACAGCTTGTCATTCCTTTGGTTTCTGCTAGAAGCTGCTCTTGAAAGCTTGCTGTCATCTACTCCCAAATGTTTTGCTGATGTATATAGACAGCGATTCTTTTCTCCCTCTCTTCAGGGTTTCCTATCATCCTATTTTAAGATTAAAGGTAGAGCCTTCTTCTTTTTTTTTGCATAGGGCCAACAAAGATTACTACTTCTCAGAGCATTTACATAGCATGAAGTATTTTGGGGTTTAACCCTCACCTTGTTTTTTGTTGGGGTTTGTTGGTGGGTTTTTTTAAATACATCTAAATAACCAATGTTTTTATTTCCAGGTTTTGCTAACAGATATCTATAGACTTTCAGAGATCACATTTTCCTAAAAGGATAACGATTTTTGGTATACAAATAAATCAGTTACATACAATTTTGAACTATAAGAACAGAACTGCTGCACTGTTATTAACATACCTGTTATCCATCTCAAAACATGTGGTCCAGTCAGCTAGTACCGGCTCTTCCCCACTTTGCTTCCATGTGTACAAGATGATCTTCCCATTCTCTAAGCCTACTGCAACAATATATCTATCAAGAGAAAAACTGCATTAGTTCTGAAAAAAATTACCATAGGTAGCTCAGCCAGGCTGGCTCTAAAGCAGGATAGAAAGAACTAGGACTGTGTTGCTCCTTGCCTTTCAAATTAATACACTACAATTTAAATCAAAGCTGCCTCATAAAATGAGCAAAAGGGAAACCTGCAAAATAGATTTGGTTAGGAAAAAATAAGGAGGTTATTACAACCTCACATCAGTCAATATTGTTGGAAGAATTAATGTTTCGGGAAAAATAGTAGAGGTCATTCAGTTAAAGAATGGTCAAAATAACTGACAGGTAGATTTTGGGAGCAGCTTAGCCACAGAAAACTAGTTGACTAAAGGGAAAAATACTAATTTCAAATTAAACACAAAATGAAGTTACAGAAAATGAGCAATACCTTCCATCAGGAGCAATCACACGGCTGATACTGACAGCAGTAACAGAATCCCCAGCATCCAGTACTGTTGAACGAGGCTTGATAGAATCCAGCATATTCCCCTCAGTACTCACAGATAAATCACACTGGCCCCATATAATGACCTGTAAAAAAACAAAACAAACAAACAAAATAAAATAAAAAAAAATAAATAAAGAAAGAAAAAAAAAAAAACACAAAAAAAGAAAGAAAAAAACCAAATAGTCATGTAAGAATTTTCACTTTAAACTTTTTGTAAATGCACTTACAAAAGCATAAGGAATAACTTTAAGTGATTCCAGGGCACAGAACAAAGTGGATGACCCTGAAAATAGTAAAAAAATCTCTGTCTACAAAGATTCAACTTTGTAGGCAATCTGTCTGGTTTCATTAAAATTACTGACAACAAAAACAGATTCTGTTATGAAAGTTAAAGAAAAACTTGAGACCCATAGAATTATGTGACATATGCTTGTCTTACTGTATGAAAAAAGAAGGAAGAATGTCCAACTGGCAGCCCACAGTCTTGTATATACATATTCAAGCACTTTATTTAGCTTACCCAAGTATCACTGACTTCTGTGCAAACACACGCAGTTAAGATTTTTGTGTATTTATAGAATATGGGCTCATTAGAACACAGCATTTGCTAATCTAAAATACATTTAAAATCATTCTGGGCTTTCTAAATTCCTTTAATATTAATTACCTTTTTGTCCCGACTACCAGTAATAAAATACTTGCTATCTGGCGTCCAATCACAAGACCAAATGATTCGACTGTGAACAGCTGTATTTTTGTCTGTGTATGCACAGCAAGTGAAGACTGGTCCTGGAATAAAACAAAATAGAGGAAAACTCTTGTTTACACTACTTTACATATTAGAAGTAATTGTTACTCAACTCTATGTAAGAACTGCAGGAATACTCGAACATTATTCCGTTCATCTTTAAAGCAAGTGGGAATACTTAGGACCACATAAATATGTTTTTTTCCAACACTTTTCACAGTGATAACTAGCCCCTGTTCAAAACCCTATCAGTCAGCCCTTATAGCCCAAACACAATAGGAACAGTTCAATCTTTTATATACATTTCTGTTTCAAAAGAATTTAAGTCCGAGACCTTCAGGTTATTTCTATCAAGTTTTTTGTAAGAACACTGACTTCAGAAGTTTTTGAACAGTGCAACATTTATCATGTGTTCACATATCCCCAGTAATTTCACTACAATTCCTATTTACCAGTCAAGCCCCAAGAGCTCAAATCATAATGGTCTAATTGTAAAGACAAATGTGTTCCCAAAGAGACAGGCTGCCATTTCAGCATGTATACAATCAGACACTAAATCTGATCAGCAGATCAGTAAATGGCAATGCTTTTCCTAAGTAGAAGGTTGTCATTTTGGAGCATGGACTTTGAATAACCTCTTCTTGGGATGCCAATACCAGCAGTTCTGCTTTACACTGATAATGATGTTATTTGTAGACAGAAGGGTTATTGATGAACAGATGAAAAGAGGATTTCCTCTACTTGCTATGAGTATTCATGATCCTTATCCTGAAACATTGTGTAACTACTGTGGACAATATGCCAGGCTTTAGAATAGAAGTCTGAATAGAACAGAAATCTCAAGCCAGGATACAACTGGACACTGTCTGAAGGGGCCAAAACTCACTGCCAAGTCTCTAGGAACATTCTATAGAGCCCAGCAGTGTTTATATGCTATTAAGCCAAGAGTGCAATGTTAATAGTTTTCAGCACAAGCATCTGTTCTAGGATTCCATTAAAGTGTTCAATAGCAATCTCCTCATGATTTTGCAAGGCTCAAAGTCTTAATGAATAAGTCAACTGAATCCTTACTATCAGCTCTCTTTCCAGACAGAGCCAGTGCAAGTCAAATTAATCAATTGTGTAGGATTATCAGAAAGCCACACCAAAGAGAGATTAATCCTGTCAAGAGTCTCAAAGTCTCATGCCCTGCAAACAGGGACAAGGCAGCTCTGTGCAGGACATGGGTGTAGCACTGAACCTTCCAGATGTGCCTGTGCAGAACACTGCGATGAAGGCTTTCCTTGACAAAATGCCAATGGGAATTTCAGGCATTACAATCCAGCTTGGATAGCTGATTTCAGTAAGTCAAACATACAATCACATGCAGAAAGCAGGAGGACAAATAGCAGACTTCATTATAACTATCAATTAAACAGCATTTTAAGCCTGATTATATTCTTCTCTGCATTTTAATTCCCTTTCTAGCCTTCCATACATTATTAATTGCATTTCTTAAAGCCACAGGAGTCTACAACACTATTAATTCTTCAAAATTGTAAGGCACATGTTCATTAAAATACCTTAACAACCCTCTTTCAAATATAGTGCAGCCAAAAATAGCGAACGCACTGCAAAGTCTTCAAGTGTGTATATCCACTTTGCATATCTTACCTGACTCCGAGGAGTCTTCTCTCCTCCACAGTGACCAATTCCTGTCTCTAGAAACAGCTAGTAAAAATCTGTCATTAGGAGAAAATGCCAGCTGAGTAACAGTCAGATTGTGAAAAGACAAACTCTGCAGTTTCTTCCAAGAAGTAGTGCTCCACAAAATAATTGCTGCATGCTCTTTTTTGGAAGCCTATATCGATAGGAAAAAAGTATCAGTGAGAATTAATGAAAGCAAATAAAAAAGTCACACATTTCAAGATACTAAAATGTTAGGGGGTTTATTTTAAGGGTTGCAAACAAGTTAGACGCTGCTTTCATCTGGGCATCTTCAAGATTGTTTCACTACGTTCTATTAATGCTGACAACTAAGAAAATGGTTTATACTTATATTGCTCAGAATTTATATCTTACTAATATCTTCAAATGAATCTTACATAATTTAGGACAGCCATCCATACAAAATCTTTCACATTTATGTGAAAGAAGAGAGTTCAGCCCAAACTAAATTCTGACTCTTGCTCTGTCAGCCCCAGAAATATGGTAGCACTTTTCACTAGATGGTGCTAAAATCTTTTCTTACCTTACACGCTGAAGCAATTACAGTGTTTGAATTATTGCAAGCAACACAAAAAATTTCATATCCGTGTCCATATCTGAAATAAATGTGAAAAGATATTTAACACATCACGGTCATTTCTGCAGTATGTATCAAAGTCCTTATGTTAATTTAAATCCCTTTGCAAAAACGAAAGGTACCTGACAAAAACTTCTCACCGCTGTTTCACTATTACACCCCAAATAACAAATGTTCAGCATTCAACTTAAACATCTGCATAAATTCTTTCAGATTTAGAAACTGACTAAAGAAAAATCTCTCCAGCCCATTCCATAGTACTAAAGCATCAGCACTACAGTAACTACACTAATGATTAACAAAGCACACTAAAGCAGCATTTAAAATATTCTGTTTTTCTTGAAAAGCAATTTTATCACCACCAAGAAAAATCAGAAGCCATACATTTGAAGACCACTGAAGAAATATACCACAAATGTCCATCCAGAGGACGCCTGTTTTGTGAATACTGAAAGATTTCAGAACTAAAGGGCAAGAATCATGTTGCAAAAGTAAAACACTTCTGCAAAACCCGCAAAACTTCCAGCCTTCTCCAGAAATACATTTTTCATCAGTTTCCGTATGAGTTCTGCTGGAATTCGAACTCACATATCCAGACTGGGATTTAACTAATAAGCAGAAATGCTACACAGACGAACACAAATTAAAATCAGCCTCAAAACAGACTGGAAATAAAATAAAATTGAAGATGCAATCTATAAACAGCGGACAAATATCAGGTTAATACCAGGTGGGGAGGGGGATTTCCTCTAATTCCTAGCTCTGAAGAGATGGGCAGTTCTCTTAATAAACTCCTTAGGTCAGCAGTGTTAAGTTCCTCTATGGGATTGATGTTCATGAGGTTTCACTAGCAGCCAAAGCAGCCATCTGTTTACATGACAAGTTACCGTCTGTTCAACAGAGTCCAGAAGAATTGTTGCTGGGCATATCCCACAGACAGATTCCCACATTCATGTCTGAAGACTGGGAATGCACTGGCTTTTCATGAAGTGTAACTATGCCTGGGCCATTTAGTGGGGAGAGGGACTGGTGGGTACACCTAATTGGAATGTTAAGTTACAAATTTGATTGTATCTTATAATGATGAAGGTACTGCTGCATCCCTTAATCTGCCACCAGCAGGAGTCTTATCATAATGTTTTCTTTTAAAGCACATTCCTGCAGACTATTTTGCAGTGAAAACCATTGGAAGTCAATTTTCTAAAACTAAAAAATATTTATTCCATCAAAAGTATAAATTTCCTCAAATTCAATGAAGGAAAAATAACCTGTGGAATAACTTGTGAAAGAGACTCTCAGTTGTTTTGGTTTAATCTCGCAAACGTAGTATTGAAACATTTCAAGCTTTTGTATAAAACACTGTTCTTGCTAAACAAAAGCACCAAAATCTAATCTTTCTCATTACATTAACAGAAAACATAAAATACTGTCTTTTGCAAAGTCACATGACCAGGACTATCACCGGTCAGAGCAGCAGCCTGTATAGCCTAGTGGTGTCTCCAGTAAAGAGAATTAAGCTAGTGGCAATAGAAGATGCTGTTTATAAGAGTGTATGAGCCCTGTCAGTATAGGGGCTCCAGTACAACCCCTTCCCCTCATCCCATACACACAATCTGATCTCTTCATTACATAGTACACCACCAAAAGAAGGTTCACAATGGAGAGAAGTAACTGCATGATGAATAAGTAAATGACACTTTGATCCGCAAGTGATTTTGCCTTAGCAATGCACAATCCATAGCATTTTTTCATGCACAGGTAAACTGACTGGACTTTCAAAGTGTCCAGACAAATGATTACAGCAATTTTCAAGTGTCAAAAAGAATCTCTTCAGGCTTCCAAGTCTGCTACACAAAATGTACATATATATAAACATAAATATGTCAACTCAGGCTTTAATCTCAGCATGCTGCATATAAACTCCCTATGGTAATTTTCCAAGAGGATAAAGATTAGCATACTCTCACAAGATTTACCATATTTTCAAAGTTATTAGATTATGTAAAAAATTCAGCAAGTTCTTGATACTAAAACCTCCTCAAGCAAACACTTTGCAAAACCCAACACTAATCCTTCAAAATTTGATGTCAAGTTAGAGCTAGGAATACACAAATGTCAATGACAAACAAGCTATTTTTAGCAAGTCAGTTCCTCACACTGTTTTTCTGCTGCTATGGCAACTTGAAATCTACATTATGCGATTTCATGTTACTCCTTTCAAGATTATTCTGAGCAAAAAAACTGCAAATCTACGAATGCTTTACATCTTGTTGCCGTTGCATAAAAGAATCCCTGTCATTAGCAGTGTCTCTAGAAACAGAAAAAATTGCTCAGATAAGTCATCTGAAGACCATCATAAAATGCAGTTATTTTAATGAATGCAGGAGAGAAAGGCAGATAGGCAGTACTCCCATAGCAGCGTATCAAATATTAATGTATCACTACACTTTGTGAAATGTCAAAGGCAAATGAAGAAAAATTTTGGCCTCGGCTCCTTTTCACTACTCAAACATCCCTCATCAAACTACTTACGTGAGTGCATTAGCAGCTGTAGCATGCACAGGAGAAGCAGCTAACCTAACCTAACAGTTAGAAATTACAAAATGGTCTAATATCCACTAGCTTCTCTCCTAGAAGCACTTCTGAGTACAAATGCTATAGAAGACCTTAAAAGCATTCAAAGAAGATTTATTGCCCAGAAGATTCAGATAAATAACCCGTAAGAGACTGAGACTATTCACTTCTTTGTGCTATGCTTTATAGATTGATACTAAAACTTTGAAGACTGTGGAAGTATAGCCTCATGTTATTGGGATCCTTAGGGAACAAATAAGGTGTAAACCATCTGCAAATTGTCGTGAATCTCAGGAAAGAAGGAAGAAAACACAGCTGAAGAATTCTAAAACTTGCAACCTTAAAACAATTATCATCATGACCATGTAACCTTTGCAATCCACAACCACGCCCAGCATTCAATACCCAAACTGTGTTTTGTAACCATCCTACTCAATGTTCATCACCTTGCTCTACCACTAGATGCATCCTTTTTTGGCTGCTGCTTCCATCTATTGCACCTCACAAGTCTGTTACACTTTAGGGGGAAGCTCCTCCATTAGTGCCACAGCCTCTACTTCCATACCACCAAGACAAACTTCAGGCAAAAGTCTGTACCATGAAGCAGAAATAAGCAGGAAACTCTTTCCATAGAGAGACCTTCAGTAAAAGCAACGTTTTCAGAGATGTGCTGAGCAGACAGACATTATCAAAGGCTGCAACATGGAAAGAGAAGCCCATCACATTCCAAGGCACGTAAGACCATGAAAATATGCCATAGTTTCTTATAGCAAACCAGAAACCTTGCTATTCTCTTGGACCAAAGAGAGGAAAAAACAGGGATTGGTGCCTTTAACAGACCTTCAAAACACAAATCCAAAGGGACAAGGAAAATCTGAACATTACAAATTCAAAATAATAGTTTTTTTGCTAAAAAACATACACATTTCACTGGTACAGAAGCAACTAATACAGTAAAATTGTGACACACCAGTTTCAGCTGCTATTTTCTGCATTGTTTCCTAATTTTTATATAATTTATTTGTTTTACAAGCAATACAGTGCACACCAAGTCAAATCAGGTAGCAAAATAGAAAGAGTTACAAGACCAGACTATATTAATATGTTGCAATAGCTTTCTGGAAATTTTGCAACTTAAATATGAAAAGAAAAAAATAAAACTTACAACTTCTGAATTTCAGGCCATAAGGTATTCTGCAACAAGTGATCCTCTGGTGGAGGTTCTAAAAGACATTTGTACAGCATATTCAAATTTGGTGCTAAATAATCTAAAAATCAGCTAAATAATGCTTCAAGTTTATATCCAACAAACCTCATTCTGTTTCCTACAACAGAAATTAATCTCATACCTGTAAGGATCAAGGGTTGGAAATAAATCTCAGGATACTGATTCGAAATGGTATTAAATGATTCTTCATCTTCATCTGGCTGAACAGCCATATCTCCTATTCAAAGTAAGGACTTCATTAGCTAGAGAACATACTTGACAGGAAGGAAAATATGAGCACTTATTATAAAAGTTAAAAACCATCTATTACTTTTAAAATACAAGTGATTAAAATTATGTTTCTCTGCTTCCAGAGTTACAATAATAGTAGAAGTTATTAGAAGTTATTCTAATGCACATCAGAATGAGGTGAACATTAAAAAAAATAATAATAATCTTTCACTCCAAGACTGACCTCTCCCCATCAGCACAGTCTCTTTTAGATTCTTAAAGAGGATTTGACTGAAAGAAGCAGTTGCCAGGAGTTGAACCTGTGCTTCCCCCTTTCCTTCTGCATATGAAAATGTTTAAGGCAAAAAAACCCTCTGATACAAGTGATGAGTTCCTAATTTTAATGTAGGTCCCTAAATGAAAAGCCATACTTGCACAAGGGTGTCTACAATCTGCAAACTTCTGCAAAACTGTTGAGGGCACAGTCTTTAGCTTTAGGCAAAAGCACCAGAAGTAACTGAAACCAGAGAATTTTAAGTCAAAATTCAACTCTGTCCTTCATTTTCAAAGTATGAAGAAAAAGGTACAGAGCTGGGGAACCTGCTCTCAGAATCTATCTTTTGCCAAATGCATGTCTCAAATACAGCAGTTTCAAAAAGCCAGTACAGAAAAAGCAAAACAAAGACTACCTTCTCATCCATCCTGTCTTCTCTCTCCTTGAAAATTAAATGAGCAATGTTTACCTAATTTGAGACCACTATCTGAGCATCACTCACCATGAAGATTCCTCTACAGAGTAAGTGAGAACAGAGGTCTGTGGGACTTTAACCTAAGCCATCAGGGCTGACAACACTGAGTGAGCAGTGGTGGACAGTGTAGGAAAATTCTATCCACAGGTGCTGCTTCTGGGTGGGCCACATGAAATCAATGCAAATTAGTTATTCTGTGTGTGACAATACTCTAGGAGGAGAAATTTTTGTTCCCTCTCTCAGCAGAGGGACGCATGAGAAAGCAGGACAAAGCAAGCTTTGCCAAAATCTATTTTACAAGTCATTTCAAGTACAACAAAGCTGGTTTTTCTCTCACAGATTATTTAAGAAAATCTGGCTTATTGCCATTGAAGACCCTGGAGACAAAGCTTATTAAAATACTTCCTTTTTTAGATCACACCTTCTGATAAAGCTTTAAGCAAAGAAAAAGCAGGTCTGACCTACTTTGTAGATTCCACTATAGTGCACTTTTACCAGAGACCTTATTAAACACTAGGCTCATCCCCTGTCTGAAGATACTACTTTTTATCATTCTAGACAGATGGTTGTCCCTCCTTTCTTGTTCCCCTACAGTGTAATCTCCACAGACTGTTCAAGGAGCTCATCTGGTGCCCCACCAGTCTTTACAAACACAACATTATTTACCACTGGCTAACTAATTCTTCCTTGCCAACACTTTCACAAAGCAATATTCAGCTGGAGCAGGGTTATGGCTATTTTCACTGGAAGAGAAAATGGGACTGACTCCCCTCAAAGCAGCATTACTTCTCTAAGCTGCTACAAGAACAGTAACATTTGAGAAGTGTAAAAAGGACTCCAGAATGTATCTATCTTTGGAGGTCAAGGTATTTTCCAGAGTAATGACAAGGAGCTAACAGGTAGTGCTGCTCCAATAACTCTGAACCTAATTTTCACAGTACACTATTCAATGCTAATTATTTTTGCTAGAAGTCATCAGTCCTCTTGGGGCAGGGAAGTGGGGGATTAGTAGGCTTGGAGAAAACAGAGGAAAAATAGGAACTGCGGGAATTCTAGTAATATCCTGCCCTGGCTACTCCCAGAGGCCTCACAGGAGAGAAGTGAGGCTCTCAGGACCACTGTGCAGACTGAGTGGGGCTACTTCCTACAGGGGTGTGGGACACAATATGAAAAGCAAAGAGCATTTTAGGTTTGCATAAGACATTGGGGGAGGAAAGCAAAGGCAGATAAAGGGAGGAAAAGGCCCTCACTTGTGCATCTGCTTTTATTTTTAAGCACCATACTTAGGTGCTACCAGAAAAATAAATGCTTTGCACAATTTAATTTCTAGATTCTAAACTTGCAGTAAAGCCTACACTTACAGACCTAAGAAAAAGATGGACACTAAAACAATCACTTAAAAAGAGTTTCCACATAAAACACCATAACCATTATTTCTCACTCGCCCTACCTTCAAAAACAGCTTTATTGGATAATCCCAAAGCTGGCACAGTTGCACCCTCTGGAAGATCAGATGACTGCTGAATTTAAAAAAAGAAAGAAAGGTTACACACAGATTGTCATGTAGGTTCGGATTTCAAAGACCATATTTTAAGGAATCTCTGAGAGTTATTTTCCTAGGGAAGTGAAGGGGGCACTTTGAAAAACTCCCAACTCATCCAGAACATTCCCTGGACAAAATGAAGACCAATACCCTGCCAGAAGAAAAAAAAAAAAGCTTTTCTAAGGACTCAGCTCAAGGGTTTTCTTCATCCCTAATTACAGGTTTTCTTCCACAAATTCATTTATTCTAGCACATACATGACAATTAAACGATTAACTGAAAGCACTGCACTTTTTAACACAATAGAACTGGGAAATAGTTGTTCTGAGGTGAAATAATAAAGCAGCATTTTGAAAAAAGGGAACAGACAGTGAGTGCCTGTGCCCACAACTTCAAACATAGCACAGAGCTGTGACTGGAATATGTGCCTGTTTAAAGCAGCACAGGGGGAAAGACGAATCATCAGACAGGAAATACTTCCAAAATGGTATAGGGAAAAATGCCAAAATTTAGAAAGGGTAAGTGAACTTGGGGCCCTTTGTGCAGAGATGAAAAAAGATTAGATTTAATAGCTGCAAAACCCCTTCTTTACAGTGTTTGAAAAGCTCAAAGACTGTTTTACAGAATTAAATCAATAATTTAGGTGACAGCTTAAAATGCATTTAAATGTTCATAATTAGATGAGAAAATGTATGAGACATACACACAAGTCTAAGACCTCTGAAGCAAAAATGGTTCTTCATTACAACCCAAAGTATAAAACAATCCTATGGATTTGAACTGAATATAATCCTATTCAACCTTTTTTGAACATAAAGCTGGGTTTTTTTGGTTTTAAGTACTTTTTTGGAGGAAGACATTTGAATCAAATTAAGAAAAAGCCTTCCCACTTTAATGAAGAAATGCTTTCACAGAAAACAATTTCAATTAAGCTATTTAAGAGTAGCTGTATCATTAGAGCTCATAAAGTCTTGCCCTCTAATCAAAGCCCACGTAAAACACTTGTAATATCATGAATCAAAAGAGGAAGAGCTGATAAGGAAACTCTATATAAAGCAATATAATGACATGTGCCAGCATAAAAGCACAATGCTATTTGTACAACAGTCATTAATGCAAATGCTTACGAAGTCTTGCGGAATTAAAGCACTAAACAGTGACTTACGTAACTTCTTCCTATTAAAAATTATTATATTTCTTTCCCAGATATTTAAGTTGTTAAATCAAGTAGAAAGGCTAATCCATGTCTGAGAAACTGCACAGAAAACACCATTTTTGAGCTAGAAATGCAAAGAGCCTGTAAGGCACTGCACAAAAGCAACTATCTTGACTGAGGTCTGCTCTACCAAATGCAGAGAAAAACAGAATTAGATCTCAATGCAAATGGAGAGCAAAGCATGGCAACACTGCAGCCTCATTTTTCCACAGAGTAGGACAGCATGCACTCTGCTTCTTAGCTGTCATTAAGTAAAGGCTTCAACTAAATTTCCAAAGCCAAGAGGAAATAAAGCATGAGCAAGTACATATTTGTAAATATTTTTATGTAGAAACTAACAACAGTGCTGAAAGCTTTATGCTATTTCCAAGCGTACAATTAAAAAAAATAATATTGACAACACATAACCACACAACAATAATTACATCTAGACAAGACTGCTACACCCTTAAATTAAGGAGATGCACATTCCACGCTTGCTTTCTTAATCCCCAAGTATGTACAGTCATCTACATGGTCTGACTTACTTAAAATATACCCACACTCTTTACAATCTTCTGACACTAGGTCTTGTTTGCTTTCAAATAGAACCTGTTTCATAAGACACCACCGTAAAAATACATATGAAAACACACATGGAAGCAAACAGAAGGGAAAGGAAAAACAAGGTTAAGGTTTCAGAACGATTAAAAGAATTTCTACGGAATTTAGTGCAGCCTGACATTTTCTAAAGCATTTATTTTATTTACATCTAAGAGGGCTGTCTTCATTTAGCATTGCCTTAGCACACTCACATGGGAGCACAGCTTCTCCATTGGAATACCAGCGATGTTACTGAAATTTTCTATAAAATTCTTGGGAGCATGGAAAACTCGAAGCACTTTTTCATCTGCTCCTGACACAAACCGAAACCGCCCGATCAATGCCAGACAACGCATGTCATAGCCATGTACTTGAGGTCTTGCAATTTCATGCCACGTTACCTAAACAAACAGACACACAGTTAAAACACAATTCTTAACCACAGAAAATGCAAGATTTTGAGTTCCAAAAAAGTACTAATACTCTACTTGCTGACTTTGACATAAAGCAAAGTTAAGAGAAACTTTCTAATGATCTGCACTTACTATGACTTCTTTGAGAGTGTCAGAAAAGGGATATAATTTGCTTAAGCAGAAGGAGGATTGTATGCTACTACTTTCAAAAGTGCAGCTCTGGAATACTTAAGACATGTAGTGATAAGTGCCTTGCTTCCTTCATCTGTCTTCCAGAAAGCACAGCAGCACTACTGTCAGCAGGCCACAGGTTCCTACTTCCCTCTTTCCTTTCAATTCTTGATTTTAGTGAGACCATTTACTAGAATCAGTTGAAAAAACCTGACAAAACCAAAGTAACTTCTTACAGTCTTGATGATTTTAGAGGTGTTTTCATTTGAAGTATTATTTTTTCAACTTTCCTGATATATTCATATCCACTCTTCAAGTATTAATCCAAGAAAATGAGAATTAACAGCTAACCAAAACAGACAGACAAGCTAGTTTTATAGTAATACTAAACAAAGAATATTAAAATTATTTAAATTGCTTTTCTAAAAATCTAAGATATTGTACACATGAGAAAAATTATTCTAAAAAAAACCCCAACAAACCTCTATGTTCTCTAGCAAATACACTTCCATGAAGAGATTTTTCATTAAGTGTCACTTGCTACTACTCCTACAGGATACTTCAGTTGGAAAAAACCTGCATTTTTGAGTTAACAGCTAGCAGAATTAGAATTAACTTAATCCATTAAAATGTATTTAGACTACTTCAGTATTACAATGCCTGTAGCCAAGATAAAATTTACATTGTACTAAGTATCATATGAATGTAAGCAGAGGCATTACATTGACTGTAAACTGCATATATCACCAGAAAAATTCAATTGAGTTTTGAATGTAGAAGTTTCTAATAGGACCCAAATGGGAATGTGAGACATCCTACAAAATATCATATTTTCACAAGGGCTTGATTTTTTTTGCATACCTTAGAACATAGCACAAAACACTCAAACCCCAAACAGACAAAGAAAGGGCTGCTAAGTCACGCAATGAACTTCTTCCAGAAATACTTGCCAAACAAACTGAAGCTGATTGTTATCCCTCATTTCTGATACTTGAGCCCAGTACAACATCAGAATAGAGACTTTAAGAAGGGATAATTATTTGCATTAAATTTTCCTTTTTATAGAGAAAAACATGAATATTGAGCTATAGTCCTAACTTTTCACAGATACCTTGTTTTGTTAAGACAAACATCAAATGTCACTTGTAATTTTTCACATGCTAAACTCAGTGTGGTAAAGAAAATAAGGCATTTTAAAAACTCATGTTATCCAAGTTCCTGAGCAGCAGAACTAAATGCTTAGTTTTCGGGGCTCACAAATACTGAACACACCTCTTCAAATGACCCATTTCTATCTCAACTCTCCACTTCAGCCCACCAAAAGGATAATACAGCTTTCTCCCACATCCTATGCAGCAACAAATGCTGACACTACTTAGATTTACACCTGATCCAATTAGCCAGGTGGCAGCTCTATGTCAGAACAGGAAGGGGAAGTATAAGAATTCAGTTCACACCAAATTTAGATATGAAGACAGCAACACTCTGCCAAATCAGTTAATTCAGAAGTTTCAGAAAGAGCTGTACAGATAAATCATACAATGCTCAGTTCTTTCAGAAAACAGGATTGAAACTGAGCAAGCAGCATACGTAACAAAGAGTGGTACCTCAGTAGGTCACAGAAAGTGGTATGGACAACTCTTTTGAATGCTGCCATCTTACAGCATGTGCTAGTCCTGGACTTTGCTTCGATAGGTCAAATCCAACACTCTATGTTTTCCACAGAGCTGTTGTAACCTCCAGATTGTAGATTAGGGAAAAAAAGCAGGGAAGTAAACTGGAAATGCCCTTCCTACAACACAAGGCAAAGCGCAGCTCTTGAATTGGTATTGCCACCACTTCTGTGTGGCCTGGAAGAAGGAAATCAAAAAACATCAGACCTCCTGTGCTGGTCTACACTACAGAAGCTTCAATGAGACAGCTGTAATAGCCTCACTCAACTAACAGAATCGTAGAATCAACTGGGTTAGAAGAGACCTCAAAGATCGAGTCCAACCCTACTGTGGTTACTAGACCATGGCACTAAGTGCCACATCCAGTCTCATCTTGAAAACCTCCAGGGATGGTGGATCCACCACCTCTCCAGGCCGACCATTCCAATGTCTGATTACTCTTT